GTATAATCATATGTGAATATTATATGATATATGTTGTTTATATTGTATATTTACATGTGATATTACATGGTATATTCACAAATGAATATTACATAGTATATTCACATATGAATATTATATGGTAGATTCACATGTGAATAGTATATGATATATTTACTTGTGAATATTACACATTCTAGTCACATCTAAATATTGCATGGTATATTCATTCATGAATATTACAAAGTATATTCACATATGAATAATATATAGTATATACACTTGTGAAGATTACATAGTATTTTCACTTGTAAGTATTAGATGATATATTCACTTATGCATATTAGATGGTATATTCATATGTAAATATTACACAGTTTATTCACATATGAATATTACACAGGATATTAACATATGAATATTACAAGGTATATTCACAAATATATATAATTTTTATATGTTATTCACATATGAATAACATATAAAATTGTATATTTGTTTTGTATTTTAATAATCATATACTGATTAAGGTGCGAAAACATATTCATATGTGAATATAAGGTGGTAATTTAGTTTATGCATTTCATCAAACAGTTGGAGTGCATACAAGTAAGCTTTTTTAAAAATGCTAAAAACATGATACTTTGACTATTTAAAACTTACAAAATAGTAGATTGATAGAGAATTATATGAAATTTTTCAAAAAAAAATGATTTAATGTTTTTCTAACCTTAATTTCGAAGTTTTGTTTGATGATCGATGTTGAATGAATGATATGAAGTGAATTGTTGTTGATTATCGATGATGTTGATCAAATAACACTTGGAGTATAATTAATCGTAGATGTTGAAGATATGCTCGAATTCAAGCATAATTGAAGGTTGGATTGAAAGAACCAAAAACAATTTTTTTTTGTCAACTGTTGAATGATGTTGATGAACGTGTTTTTGACGAAGATGGATGATTGATTAACACTGGATGATGTTGATCGAGGATTTAATTGAAGAAATTTGGATGATCGTTGAAGGTTGGAGAAGAAATTTGGATGATGAACGATCGAGTAGTAATGAATTTGAATTGTTATCAAATTATTCACAATTATGTATCTGTGATTGAAGGATATCATATCATATTTACAATTTTGTCACCGTGTATTTTATGTTAAGATGCTAATTAAATGATTGGCTGAGAATGAATCCCCCATTCTCAACCTTTTTTTTCTCAATTGAACCCTCATATATATATATATATATATATATATATATATATATATATATATATATATATATATCTATATATATATATATATATCCAAATTTCTATTGTTTTTCATTTTTTAAAGTTTACCTATTGGAATTTATTCATACTGTTTATGAAACGAAATTCATGGTTATTTTGTTCTATTATATATGGTTTATCATTTATTGATCTTAAGATATATTAAGCACACAAAACTACCATGTGAATCCCTTATATACTATTTTGTTTTCTACACCATATGAGATTATCTAAAAAATGATCAACAATTATACAATATTTACACGTGACATTTGTATTATTATTAATATGTTTTATTTCTACTATAATAATTCATAGATATTATTACAGGTATTGTTGTTGTTGGTTATATTAATGTGTTGAACATTTGATTATGTTTTATGTTCAAGTTTTGTGAGAAAAATATTAATATTATTATAGGTTATAATTAGTTTCGTATTAAAATTTTATCCAAAGTTTGTAGATTCATTTATAATATACATTTTTTATCTTGTTATTTTATTTTGTGCAACTCACGTATCCATGAAATTACAAATACAACAATAAGTATAAGAAAATGAAATAATACAAAAAAAATTGCATTATCTTGATTATGGTTATTATGTATTACATAGTATACATCAAACATCCAAAAGACTAAATCTTTTCATTCTTACATATATCCTTACATATAAAATAAAAAAGCGAAAGAAATTCAGGACACTCCTGTTTAAAAGGAAACTAACGTGTTAACATTCGCCAACAGAGTGAAGCAGTGGCGGACCTTAGTGGGGCATTTGGGGTCCTAGTCCACTGCTCAATTTTCGGCATGCAGTGTAAATTTTTTTTTTTTTTTGGTTTTTTCTATTAGGTGCACCCGCTTGAAGTACGAGGGACACCCCTACTAAAACAGTCTGCGTCCGCCACTGGAGTGAAGAGATGACGTGAAAAGGAGGGAAGAGATTTAGATCTGCATTTTGTATAAATTAATATACAATTTGCATTACCAATCACAAACGACTCGTGCTGGATTCCCTGACTCGCTATTTGCTAACTTTATAAGTTAGCCAAATTGGATAAAATGATAATTGAATAATGAATACGATCTCTTTTTTTTTTTTTTTTTTTTGTAAGATAACCAACTTTCTTGATCGATGATTGTTACGATAAATGTCTTTAGATCTGCGACATATTTATATGTAGGTTGATTAACTTAAACGAAAAAGTAATTAAAGTTTCTCATATTTTTATGCAATTACAATTTTAATATTCAATACAGTTGTATCTTGTAATCTCTTTTCTCAAAGATAGTTTCGTATTTAAAAACTTTAATTAAGTAGGTCTTTAATAAAGAAAGAAAAAATCACAGTCTAATCAGTTTAGTATATAATAAAGAAAGAAATATTAAATATAATTTTTTTAGTAGTAAAAGATAAGATACAACTATTTAAAAGGACCCATTTTATTAAATTTAGACAAAACTTCAAAAATGGTCCCTGTGGTTTTCGAAAATCCGAAGTTTAGTTCCTAATCTTTAAAAGCCTCAAAGATGGTCCCTGTGGTTTCAAAACTTTTAACAAATTGTCATTTTCGCTAACTCCGTTAACTTTTGGCCGTTAAGTGAATGACATTTCTGTCATTTCACTAGCACATGACCATTTATGAAGTTTTGACTTATCTAAAAAATAAAAAAATAAAAGTAAAAAATAATTGTTTAATATACAAATGGTCCCACACACACACACACTCTCTCTCTCTATCTCTCTCCCTCTCTCTCTCTCTCATCTTCATCAGATGGATCTCAAAAACCCAAAATCAAACGGGAATATATGGCAAAACAAGTTCGTTCATCCCTAAACTATACAGTGAACACAAGAACCCACCCCCAATTTCAACCAGATTCGTTACCAATCGTGATTTGCAGGTTTGAGATTCAACAAAAATCAAGACCCATCGTTGGGTCTCTTGGTCTCGACCGGACATCGACGTAGGTTTATCGAAATCGAAATGGCAAGGGCGGAGACGGTTTACCGGTGGCAGCAGGGCAACGACGGGGGGAATGCAGTAGCGGTGGTGGCTGTGATTGGTGGCGATGGGCGGCCTTACTGCTTTGTTCCTGTTGTCTGATGCTCGACGAGGGACCAAGAGGAAGCAGCAACGACAACGGCGTTGGGTAGTGGTAGGTTATGATAGGAGGGAGGCGGAGGGACTGTCACCGTCGGCTATGGTGGTCCTCATCGCCGGTGAAGTGAGAAACGGGGGAGAGTGACGAGGTGGCAGCTTTACTGCCTTCACTGTTTATTCTAATTGGCGATGGGTGACGAGAGAGGGAGGAAGGGAGAGTTGGAGAAAGCTAAGCAGCAGCACAACAGAAGCACCGAGGTGGGTGGTGCTTGGATGGCAGGAGGTGGCAATAGGCACTCCGGCAACCTCCTGTTGCCGGTTTTCCCTTGCATTCTGTTACTGATAATAGAGGATGGCAACATGTTAGGGAGGTGTTGGGGTGTGTTGGTTGATGCAAAACAAGAGAATAGAGGGTGTTTAAGGGTGGCAATTTATGAAGAAGGAATGAGGTGGAGGGGCTGCTACAAGTAGCTTGAACGGAGGGTGGCATCCCTCCTTTCCTCCTTTGATTTTTCCGGTGACACGAGAGAGAGATAGAGAGAGAGACCCTTTAATATTAAATATTTTTTTTCCTTTTTTTTTAAATAAGGCAAAACTTCATAAATAGTCTCCGTGATAGTGAAAAGACAGAAATGCCCTTCACTTAACGGCCAAAAGCTAACGGAGTTAGAGAAAATGACCATTTGTTAAAAGTTTTGAAACCATAGGGACCATCTGTGAGGTTTTTAAAGATTAGAGACTAAACTTCAGATTTTCTAAAACAACATGGACCATTTTTGAGGTTTTGTCTTAAATTTACTTTTTTTTTAAAAACTAAAGTCACATGTAACAATCAGTTTAATATATACTAATAAAGAAAGAAAAATGACAGTCTAATCATATGATGAAATCATGTGTGTAAAGCATATTCCCTGACGTATTTACTCTTTGATTACACTACAAACAAGCGATATTTCATATCTGTTTTTATTTTATAATAATTGATCTTTTATTGTACATAGTTATTTATATTTTAAAAGAAAACTCAAGTATTATATGTTCAAAATGATTATTATGTTTTTTTAAAACAATTTAATCTACTTCTAAAGTAATCTTAAATCTACATATGTTCTAAACACGACTTAAAAGGTGACCTCAAAAAGAATGAACACGATACAGTTGAACTTCGAACCATTTTGTGTTATATTTTTATCTATTAAAACTATTTTACATCTTGACTTTGTCTAAGTTAATGATTCAATACCATTTTATGCTGTACCTTTTTAAAGAAATTTTAAGATGAAACGCTATTAAGTCGCTGTAGGCATTTTAAGCATATTTCTATATTCTGATTTTAATGAAATTTCATTGTTATATGAAACCCTAATTTAGATAATCAAAATATACTACAATTTTAATGGACAAAAATATGAAATAATAAGTATTTTGGACATTGAAGATAATATAATAAGTTGAGTTTTTCGCGATTTTCACATATTTTAATACTTATAAACCTATACTGTCTGTAGTTATTGTTGATATATTTTCAACATAAGAAAAATAACAAAAAAAAAATCTCACTTGTTATCATCCAAAACAATTGAATGTGTGAAAAGAATGGTATTACCAATGCCAATAACTACATCAAATCACCAATTACCCTTTCAAATCAATCACACTAAAATAATATAATATATTAAAAAAAAAAAAAAACCTATTTTCTTTTTTAATTTCCTATATTCCTCCATATCTTTCCTAAATCTTCATATATCACATCACAAGTTGACAACAGACTCTACACTCGAACCGGCCAAGATTTGAACCGGTTTGGTCTGGTGCTTCCGTTGATGCTGAGACCAGTAGGAGTGTGCAGCCAGGACCCGGTCCAAAAGACCCTGAGGCACCGGTTCACCCCTTCTTTGTTGAGGAGAGATCCCTGCTGTGTGAACCAGTGTTTTCCACTTATCCTGTTACAAAATCAATTTTTTTCCCTTTAAAAGCTTAAAATTTTACATGTGATGTGATCTTTACGTAATAAACAATTATGTTTTTTCAGGGTAATAATTTAGTAAAAAATTATATTAGATTCTTCTTTACCTTTAAGTCCACATAAGTTCGGTGATTCGAATCATCAAAAGCACGCAATTTTATATCACGCCATCTACAATATTACAAACAGACACGTCAGAACACAACAAAACAGAACAATTTATACTACGTTGACTGATTGGGACTGTGACAATTGCAATTTTTTGGACTTAGTGACTGATTGTCACCCGGACAAAATTGCAAATTGCAATTTTTTGGGCTGACTGGCTGTTGACTTACAAAATTGCAATTTTTTGGACTGACTGTTATTGACTGACAAAATTGCAATTTTTTGGACTGTTTGTGACCAACAAAATTGCAATTTTTTGGACTTAGTGATTGTTGATTGACTGTGACCGTTGACAAATTGCAATTTTTTGGACCGATTGAATGTGACAAAATTGCAATTTTTTGGACCGACTGATTGTTGACAGTGACAAAATTGCAATTTTTTGGACTGATTGTGACCGACAAAATTGCAATTTTTTGGACTTAGTGACTGTTGATTGACTGTGACCGTGACAAATTGCAATTTTTTGGACTGATTGAATGTGACAAAATTGCAAATTTTTGGACCGACTTATTGTTGACAGTGACAAAATTGCAATTTTTTGGACGGTTGTTGACTGAATGTGAGTGACAAAATTGCAATTTTTTGGATTGATTGACCGACAAAATTGCAAGTTTTTGGACTGATGACTGTTCATTGAGACAAAATTGCAAATTTTTGGACCATCCAAAAAGGTGGAACAATGTGGGACTGAGACTGTCGTTTGTGCAAAAGACGTAAATAGCGTAATACCCTTGTAATTCAATCATTCATATTTCATAGTGATACCTTCCGGTTCCAAGTGTTTCAACTGCTTCCACAAGTGCTTCTACTTCTGATACAGAAAACGGTCTTCTAATTCTACGTTGTGAAGCTTCACATTTTTTGGTTAATTGGACACGAGACATTCCTTCTTTTAGCAATTCCGTTTGTAAGGGTACAAATTCTTGATTCTCATCAACATGGTAATCCAGAGAAGAATTAGCTGCTGACGTGGCAATCATTTCTTGATTCTTATCTTGAAATGGAGCTTCTTTTTCCATTGGAGATGGAATAATAGCTTGGAACAAATTAGGCTCCAATGTAAATCCCAAACTTTGAAGATCAGAATCCCGGGAAATACCCGTTTGTTGTAGGGTTCTGTTGTTGTCTTTGACCTTTTTGCCCTTGAGAAGTATCCCTACGTGGAGTTCGCCACCTAGGATAGCTGAAACAGCCTCCATAACAGTCCTCTGTGGATGATATTTTCAACCACAAATAGCAATTAACAAACTATTATATAAACGAAAAAAACTTTTGAAAAATATCATTTACCTTTAATGAACCCACAGTTGCTGTTTCGGGTATTTCAATATACAGTTCTGGGATTTTAAAGGATTTGATGCTAAATTTCACTGAAAAATGAAACATTTTATCAATTAGGGATTTGTTAAACCCTAATAGTAATACAACTGAGTTTACCACTTACCATGATTATCTCCATTGCCACTCTTCTCATGAAACAGCTTCCTCCTTTTAGAAGGAGCCTCTGTTTGACACGTGTCTTTACTGTATATCTTTTCCCTATTTTGGTTTAGTTTTGTTTCACTGCCTAATAAACAACAAAATGATATAATTAGAAACACGGATACATACTTTCAAGTGTTATTTTTAAATATGAGGATCCGGAGGGCATTTACGTCTTTTTTCATAGACAAGAAATCAAGATTGTATCCTTGTCCCACTTTTTTAGTGGATATGGGACAAAAGTTTCTTTTTTTGTCAGTGTCACAGTGTCAGTGCATGTCAAACACAGTACAATTTGTAGTGTGAGGGAGAATTCCAACTTACTAGTAGTGTTAGGGATTTGATAGTTTTTCTTTAAAGTAACTTTCTGGTATCTATATGCCATCATCTTTCTTATTCTTCTGTATCTAGCATGTGACTTTTCCCTAAATGCCCTCATTTTGGTGTCATCTCTAATACCCATCTTTACATTTACCCTTTTGGAGGGTAGATTTAAACTAGTATATGATTTAGTAAGCACACGAGTATTTACACATGATTCCATTGGGTCACTAGCAGTAAAGTCTCCACTTTGTTTCTTTACATTTACTCCCTCAGTCTGTATTTCAGCTATACTGTTAAACAAGTTAAACTTACATAAATCTCCCTCCATTTTATCTACATTCTTGGCTTCACATGGTTCCAACTTCACATTAGTTTTCACATCAGAAACATGTTCCAAACCAGAATCATTATCGGAGTGTTGTGATTCTTTAGGGAGGGTAATCTGGTCTTTTTGTTCTGGACTGGTGCTTGAAGTAGAACTTTCACTCTCCTGTAATAACTTGTCAGCTATGGATGCCAACAAGTCAAAGGCGCAGATTTTGCTACCCTCTGATGATTTCCTATGTGAACTCCTCTAAAGAAACAGAAAAATGTGTCGATATGAGTTTCAATAGGAAAATGGAGTTGAAAGAAAGTATATTATATATAGTTATATACTCACCCTTAAGGATCTTGGAGCTTTAGGGGCCATGGGGGATTGAAAACCATCAAATCTTCCATAGTATATACTGTTTTTTGACACCATATTTTAGGCATACGTTCCAATAAGAGATCATCAACCACAATGAAGAGATCTGACAAGGTTTATCTGTAATTTCAGTAAATAGAAAATCAGAATCTTTGATATAACCAAATGCATCTTTCATTGATCTTTCAAGAACTCCCGATATCTTACTGAAAAAAACTCATCAAGATGGTGATAAATATTCGTGCGCTTGTTTAACCAGATAGTCTTAGGGAAAAAATTGATGATTTGAAGATCCATTTTGCCCTTGTTCATCGACAATCTGGCATGATTAAGGAAAAGGAAAAGACGATCGAAACAGCTAGATCCCATAATCTGGGAGGCAGATCAATAATGAGAAATTTTAGGGTAAATCTACGCCATAGTCCCACATACAAATCAACGGTGGAGCTAGTCAAACACTTTCAACAAATTTTAACAAAAATGGAAATAACAAAAAAAAAGTAAAATAAAAAACTTATAAACCATGCAAATTCATTTTATCGAATCACCTCACAAATATAGCCATAAAAGTTGAACTCATCAAAAACTCATTCCAGCGCCAATTAGATCAAAAAACTGTGTGTGTGTGTGTGTGAGAGAGAGAGAGAGAGATTTGCACCACAGATAACCAGAAATTCAACACGATCAGACAAACAATCAAAAAATGTATGAAACCCGATCCAATCTCTACACTACGAAGCAAGAAAATTCAGGCGAAATTTTAGCATAAACACAACGGAGATCGGAGAAAAACACAATATATAGAGGCAACGGAACGAATTAAACGAAAATGAAGATGAACAAGAGAAATGGTATGAAATTACCTGCACTGAGATAGAATTCTGTTGATCTGAGTAATTGGCATTAACGATTTGGGATTTGGATAAATGAATACGAAGAGAAATTGTACAAGTAGCCGATAGCAATTGGAGATTTGGTAGAAAACTGAAAAGAATGAGAATGAAAAAGAAAGCAAATTGGAGGAAGGAAAGAGAGCGCTAAACCCCTGCGTTTAATTTAATCGAAAGAAGAAGAACAGAATGAAGGGTAGGAAGGTAATTTTCGGGGTAGAAGAGCCGGTGACCATAAACCTCCCTATAATCTCTTTGTGAGAGTTTTCTTTGGACAATCTCACCCTTCTCTGGGCAGATAGGATTGCTTTTGACACGTGTAGTATTTATTTTTTAACTTAGAAATTTACATGTCTTCTTCGTGATAACATAATATTTGAACTTATTATTTAAAAGTTTTACTATTTTACAATTTTTTACAAAAAGAATTTTTAACTTACAAATTTACATATATTTTGAAAACTATTCTCTCCATCTTCCTCCTTTGGAAGATCTGTTTGTCATTCTCATATTAATTATCTTTTACTTATATTTTTATGTTGTCATATAATTATTTTTTATGTTGTTCTTACCTCTTTCATTTCATAACACATAAAAATTCATCTTTATCATCCTTTATAACTAACATAATTTTTAATTTTCAAATATATACAAATTATCAAAAATATACAAAACAAATTAGCAAAATATAAAAATAATTTGGGTTTGATAATAATTTTATTATATTTTTGTAATACCAAATAGTTATATTATATTATATTATATTATCATGGGTGTCTTTGACGGTGTACGAGGTGGCGACCGCACAGGACCCTTGTCATGGAGGAGGTCAATTTTACATATGATTAAGTTTATAGTCTAACAATCGACAATCCAGTAATCAAAAAGACAAAAGTCTATGTATTTTCCAATTCAAATAGCTAACAATACAATTAAAACTTGCAACAACTCAAGTTTTGAAAAATTATGCTTAAAATTAAAAATTGCATTTGGACCAATGTAAATTTACGATAAACAAGAGCTTACGTTTTGTTCTAATTCCAAACTTCCAAATTGCAGCAACTGCAAAGCTCAAACGACATTTTTTTGTTTTTTTGTTTTCTGATTCCAATAGACTCCACCTTTCTTTTATATTGCACTATCGTTTTACTTTTTTATTGTTAAATGAAATTATACAGGTAAGTATTTTACTATTCCTAGTTTCTAAATCTGACGACATCTCATTTTATATTTTTGATTGATGTCGTTGATTAACGAATGTAACACACTTAAATAAGTAAACAGCGCTATGAGAGTCTCGCGAATTATTTAACTATACAAGATTGTATATTGTATTATCGGTTTTTTTTTTGTTTTGATTATCTTTATAACATTTATCGAGTTATCGTCGTTCGAACAAATTTAGTTATATATATAAACAAATTATATTTACGGGTCCATTTTTATTTTTCGCATCAGGCCATCAAAATCAACGGGACGCCCTGTATATTATATTATATTATATTATATTATATTATATTATATTATATTGCATATTATATTATATTATATTATATTATATTATATTATATATATATATATATATATATATAAAAGATCATCGTGTATACCTATCACGTACGCATCAGTGGTCTAGGTGGCAACATACCACGACCACGAACACCATCCCGGTGTCTCATTTTGGCTTGTGGTTGTTGTATTATGTGGAGTAGACAATAACGGACCACAACCAATAAAAATGTTTTATTCTTTGTGTAACAACCTAAAAACAGTGATAAAAGTTTTTGTTTTAAAAACCATTAATTACATTCATCAGGTGTCTCAACGTCAACCAAAATATAGTATGTCAATTCATCAGGTTAAAATAATTGTAAATGTAGAATCATGAGGGGGATGTTGAGCGATCACGTTGGGTCATTTCCTTTCGAACTAGAAGTATTATAAACCACAAAACCATAAGCATAAAGCTTAGTGATTTCCCCGAAAAATACCACATACCATACATACAGATTGTCATGGGCTACCCCCATGGTCTTTTCCCTGAAATGACATGGGCTAACCCCCCCCCCCCCCACCCCACCCGGGTCTTACAACCAAGTGACATGGGCTACCCCCATGGTCTTGCCTTGGAATGTTATGGGCTACCCTCAAGATCTTACAACCAAGTGGCATGGGTTATCCCATGGTCTTTCATGCAATTGTCATGGGTCATCCCATGGTCTTTCATACAAATGTCACGGGCTACCCCGGGGTCTTCCATGCAAGTATCACAAAGAAAACTAGCATATAACAATATTCAGTAGGTCGGCATTGGTTCCTTCGACCCACAAGTACAGTGAGAAGACTCGCCTCAATCTGAAGATAATCGAAATCTCACACACGCAACTGCTACAAAGCTCCTCACACTAAACAAATCAAAACCATCCCTAATTAATAATTAGGGTAATAACCCATAATTAAGGTCCAAATCATATCCTCTATCATTAAGTGTAAAAGTCCATTTTACCCTTTCCAAACTAGACCCAACTAAACATAGCCCAAGGCCCAAAAATGGCCCAAGTGCACTTCTGGGAGTACGCCACGCATACTCTCTTCTTATGTCGTGCGTAATGAGTTACCACAGAAAAGAAAATGGGCAAAACCCATTACGCGTTGTGTACCCCAGGGTTACGCCCTATGTAACCACATTGATGCCAAAGTCCACTTTTAAGCTCTTCATACCTAAGATTAAATGTCCAACTCATAGATCTTAGTCTTGGGAAGGTCTTAACTTATAAAGTCACCAACTTTAAGTTTTTTTCATGGCTTAATAGAGCCCAAAACCAAACCCTAAGTCCATAACACTCTTTAATAACCTCAAACTCTTGCATAAGTGAGAAATAGTAACAAAGACTTCATTTTTATGACACAAAATCCTCAAGAACAACGTAAAATGACAAACTTGAGCTCTAAAGCTGCTTTTACTCATAAGAACCAAACCATTGGACCAAAAGTCATGCAAAACTAGACCCTAGCCTAGATCTAAACCATAGAGGCATAAAGGTAAGAGCTTTATACCTCCAAAAGTTGGCAAATAAAAGGGAAGCTCTGAATTTATAAACTCCAAGCCCAACAATCCTTAATGATGAACTTCTTCTTCTTCCACAATAATCAAGAACACTCTAAAGGTCCCAAATAAGCTCTCAAGGGTTAAGGTTTCGAAATGACAGAATGAAGGAGTGGAGGCTGAAGGTGGGGGAGGCCTCAAGGACTTAAGGTCCTTTAAATAGGGTCTAAACCATAATTATTAGGGTTTGGGGTTAACATGAGTATGCCCTACGTACTTCTTATGTACGCCCATCATACTTAAAGGAGTCCTCGACACTTTTTAGTGAACTACGCCCGGATAAGGACCAAAAATGCAATTATTACTTTAAACCATAATTGAAAATACCTAGGAACATGGGTGTTACAACTCTTCCCCACGTAAATTAGATTTCGTCCTCGAAATCATTCCTTACAACTTACTCTGCCACACCAGATGACTGCCTACCAACACTGCTAATGAAGCCCCGAATCAGCAGATACCAGGTGTCCTAACGAAGAACGAATCTTAACATTCCGCCCCTAGACAACAAAAGGAAATCCAACCGCCCCGCCCAAAAATTGGAAAAAAACCCCAAACCATGTCTTACTACAGACAGACAGAACAATTCGAAACCACAACCATAATAACTTCACACTACAACTCGAACTGGAACAAACCTCTCGACCCTGAATTATCCCACTGACACATGGAAAGCAGTACCCCTGACCATTTGCCGCTGTCGACAACCTCACATTTAAATATGAAGACGAATCCTAACACAAGAGTCAACCCTTGATGCCAAACCAACATATAAATCACATCATGTTAACCAAACATTCGCATTTTGATCTAACCGAGATCTTCCTAGTTCCATACTGACCTACCAAATGGTTGATGCACCGAAATTTCGATCGGTTGCTGAAGCTGATGGCCTCACACACAACCGCACCACCAGACTCCAACCAAGAGTCTAACTGAAAAAAGCTATTCATAAAGAAAACTTGAGAGACCACTCGGAACCCTACTTATGCCAACAAACAACCCACAACTTGGAAGCATTCAATGGAAACAACTACTTATTCATCCCCATCTACAAAACCCAAATCACAGCGACAACTACTCAAGGCGGGAAACTTTTCAAAAACTGGAACTACAAACCAACTCCATTAATAATCTTCCCAAAACTAGGATGTAACGTCCCAAAAATACCAAGTAAAAAATTTCATTTTAAATAGGTCAAACCATTCATACATTATCCCACAAGACGACCAGAGTAAAAGTATTCTCAAAACATCAAAGTAAAATCATAAACATTCATTGTGGAATAGATCTTCAGGGGATGCAGTGCGATCAAGTTGGGCCATTCCTTTGAAACCAGAAGCACCTGAAAACATTATAAACATAAACCGTAAGCATAAATCTTAGTGAGTTCCCCAAAGTATCACATATCATACAAATCAGTGGGCCCTGCCCTGGGGTATGTTTCAACCAAATACATATCAATGGGCCCTGTCCTAGGGTATATTTCAACCCAACACCTATCAATGGGACCCGTCCTGGGGTATATTTCAACCCAATGCATATCAATGGCCCCGCCCTAGGGTATATTTCAACCCAATTAAAGGGACCCGTCCTGGGGTTTATTTCAACCCAAACATACATGCAAAAGTCACAAAGACAGATAGCATTCTACATAACATAATCTAGTGGGTCGACATTGGTGCCTTCGACCCACGAGCATAGTGAGAAGACTCACCTGAACTACTCGACAGAAGCCTAACAGCTACCTCAGCATCAAAACAGGCAACCCAAACTTCCTAAAACCAAAGCAAAACTAATCCTTAGTCAAATGCTCAATTCTACCCAAGTTTGACCAAAAGTGAAACTGGTCAAAAAGTCAACGATCAGCTTAGTCAAAGTCGACGTCACATTGTGACCATCCATTGGTCACATCGTGAGAATGCAACGATAAAACAATCATGATTCTGGGCACCGTCACGTAGACCAGGCAATTCGTGTATTCGTGTCATGAAAACGTGTCAGCCACGAATTTGACACGATACGATTACACGATGAGAAATAAGCTTTATCTCAATTTTTAAGATGTATTCGTTTCGTGTATTCGTGTCGTGTCGTGTCTCTCACAGATTCATGTATTCGTGTCTGGAATTGCCAGGTCTACCGTCACGTCGT